GCTCCCGATAATAATGAATGGGCGCAGGTTAATTAATTTGCAGCTACCCGAATGCCTGCGACTGTTTAGCGTTACGCGTGTAACGCGAGCTCGATTACCATGCGTTCTCTTTTGTTTTCGAAGATCCGTTCGCTGATAATCACGCCGCGAAATATATTTTACGACTTCTTACTTTGTTTTCCAGTCAATAGCGCATTGTGCTGGAACGGATATACAGCTACGCGCATTGCAACTTCACCTCCTATGTATTACAGAGTGCTAGAATGCGCGTGCCATATTATTAATGGTTGTTTAATTAAATGCAAAGATACTGCATTCGCGCGCGTGTGCTCATTATAAACAAACACCATCGAATATAATTCGACGTTGAAATAACAACCCCATTGATGATTAAAATCACTCTGCAGCAGAAATTATACCTCAGAAGCAACCCCTTAAAGTTTTATTTATTTATGAAGTCATCACGACCCGTTCGCTCTGAAGTTCGTGGAAAAACGTCTCGTCCGCGTCGGATGAAACTCGAGACGCAAAAGGGGATGCAAGAGGGAGGATTTCCTGGGGAAAGACTGGTGAGACAGAGTCCTGTGGAGTAGCAAGGTACAACCGCGAACGAGGGCTAATAACCTAGGAAGTTAATTACGGCCGTAAACTGTGTGGGGGTTGTTTGACTACCCCTTGGCAGCGAGGGTGGCTGACATAACGGTGGCCTCGTTACAACAGAGCCGCGCCAATCCCTCGTCTCCGTTGCCCTTTCGAAGCGATCGCACATCGTGAAAAGCTTCCATCCTCCCCCGCTACGAATCTATGAAAATTAACTTAAAACCACACGCATAGACTGCTCAGTTTCGGTGTCACGTGGTTTTAATCTCCATAATAGATGTATCGCGGAAACAACTCGAACATAGAAAAATTTAAGAGACTGTCGTAACTTCTCGTACACGCGCACGAAACAATGGCGGTTCTTCGTCTTACCGGGCTTTGTATACATGAAAGACAAGATTATGATACAGTACCGGTAAGAGAATGTGCAGTTAATAAGGCTGGGAAGAAATCTGTAGCAACTTGAGAGGCAGGCAGACGAAATTCAATTGCTATTGTCCGTTCGTTTCATCTGGCTTTATATACTTTAGAAACAAAAGTCGAATACAGTACCAGCAAGCAAATGTATAGTTGGCGAAGGTAGGGGAGAAATCAGTAGCGACCTGAGAGGAAGGTAGACGAAATGTAATCGCTATTGCCTCTTCATTTTACTTGACTTTGTATACACCGGAGACGAGACTAAGATCTGTTTCCAGCAAATAAAGTACAGTTAAAAGAGGCTGGGAATAAATTTGCAATCCGAGAGTCAGGTGAGCGAAACTCGATCGCTATTGCCTCTTCGTTTTACCTGACTTGTGTGTGAGATACACTTTTAATAAGTACAGTTAACAATGGTTGGAGTAACTTTGTTGCAACCTGAGAGACACGAGTGCAATAAATGAGAACAGAATCTCGATTATATAACATAAAATTATTAGAGAACAGCGTACGTGCGTTGTTAATAGACTCGTTAGACCTGTTGCACGTTGTCGGCCGCACAATTCCACATTTAATGCTCAAATTACGATCCGAATTACATTTATAAACTTGCGAATATTTACATTGAGGCGTACCTCTATCGTGAAACGGTCTTTCCCTTCCTTTTCGACGATTAAAAATAGAAGAGTAGCGTCTCATGAACCGGAAGCCCGCCGGTGGAAGACTGATAACAGCGCGGGAGAAACGAATGTTTATAGCGTGAATAATTCATTGTTTCAGTGAAATTGTCCCTAGCACGGGCGCGAACAATGAATGAATGCAGTTCGCAATAAGCCAAGAAGAAAATTACGCGCATAAATAATGCTCCCGGCGAAACTTTGTTCCCGTTCCGCGGCGGCGTTTCTACACGGGTATCATGTTAGTCTTTACCCGCCGCTGAATCTGCGTGTATCTTTGAGCATAAATCACGCGCGGAAGTGTTGTTTCGCAAAACACACCGTTACGTTTTATTGTCTCTAACTATTATACCTTGAAATTTATTATATTCCCGTTATCGTTACCGCGGACCGAGTGAAACGAGAAACAATTCGCGTTTAAAAGTTGAAACCACCAGCGTTGCACGATCACCATCGAGATCGCGTTTACAAAGGGCGCGAAAAATACTTCAAAAAATCTAACTGCAACAATCGAGTTCTTTTCTCCATGTAATCGATACATTTAATCCCGTTCGTTCGACCCTCCATCGAAAAATTGGATTCAATTTTCAGTCCACCGGTATTTAATATTCGTCTACATACAAGGCGTTCACGGGAAACCTAAAATTGACGGTCGGCGATGATTTTATATGAAAAAAACAAATCGGAAATGTAATATAACATTTTTGCCCCCGAGGACTCGTTTCCGAGAAATTAAATGCTGAAAATTTTTGGGGCACGCGCAGCCGTTCTTTTATCATTCATCGACTGCTAGTCATTTTCTACTTACGTTGGTGTTTGCGAGCGACGATAGCAACCTGGTGTTACCTGTTCCCGCCGATATCGTCAACGATTTACCAACACGAAATAATCTGCGACGGACAAACGCGTCAGTCAAATCGTACTTAATCGCACGCGCGTCAAACCAATTTTGGAATTGATTTCCTCGAAAACGAAGCCGGGGGGGGGGAACAAATTTTACCCCACCTTTTCGATTTATTTTTTCACGAAAAAAAGTACAGCATCCTATATTTTGACGCACGGTCGAAAAAAGAAAAAAATGGTTTTACTATCCGTAGCCAAAATGTATTCCCGGACCGTGTTCCATTACGCGGTGGGTTCGTTTTTCGCTGCTGTAGAAAATAACATGCGTCAAAGCACGATTTTGGAAAAACCTTTCCTTTATACGCAACCAGGCCCCAATCGACCCAGAAAAAAAGAACGGCCGTGACAGTTTTTTTTTCCAGCAAACGCGATGGCTAGCAAATTTGACGAGTATCGGTATTCAATAGACAACTTTATATGTATCTTTTTGTGCGGTTTGTTTCAAATTGTCTATCGACCAAATAGAGAATTTCGGTTTTACAGTGAACCGAAATTTTGATGAATAGTTTCACAAAAGGTGAAATTGGTGAACAGCTTCCTTTTTTAACATCGACGATTCAGATCGTGCGAATATATAATATATAATACAGAAAAATGTGAAGAATACATAGATCGTTGTTTAAAAAATCCAAACTAATGGCAAAAAATAGATTATTCAAGACTGGCAATTAGTTGTTGAATACATACAGTCGAGCGTTTCAAATGTTCGCGCACGAAGGTTTTCGGTATTGCGTGTTGTGGCGCGAATTTATGAATTATGTAAACTGTCGTGTAGTGAGTAATGGGTTGGGTATGATTGAAAGCACATTAAGGTTATTCATTCTCTGTGCACTTCCCTTTTTCGGTCGTTTCCCGCGTCCTGATTATAAATACAATTTATGTGGATGTTATTTATTTGAAATTTTAACATTAGGAATTTATTTTTATGATACAAATCTCATGCATTTCCTAGGAGTTAATTCCTAAAGAAGACTTTATTTTTGTGGGATTTGAGCGGTCCCTGGTCTCGTTGAGTATTTCACGTCTCCAAGACAAAATGGAGTCGCGCGGACTAGCATCAGTCACCGACGAACGACGAGTATATTCGTCACGGCGATTCTCGAGACTCGCGCGAACCTTAAATTGGCCCCGACAGCCGCGAGGTAAGAAATCGTTCCTGCTAGACCGCGGCCAACTGTATAATTAGCGACTGCCGCGATAGCAGTTACGAGGCCGCACGCATAAACGCGGCGAACACGCGAGATCGTGCGGGCTTAGGTGTTTACCATTTCCCAAGTGGCCGCGTGCTCGAAGAATCTTATCGGGGGCGAACGTTGCACGCCTCCTGGTGCATTAAAACCTCCTAGGAACTTGCACTTACAGGTGGCGACCAATGCTTTTCCCTAGAACCGCCATACGACGAACATAGAAACTAGCCACGTGAATTGTATTTTTAATATAAACTTCGAAATATGTGTGTTTGTGACGTTATCGTTGCAAAACAGTGCTATTTTTAACATACATTAAAAAAAAAAAAATTGTTTGCTCTATAAGACACAAATAAACATCGCGTAAAAGGAAAAGTCCGAAAACCGCGACTTTTCATTACGTAATAAATTGCAAGTGCAATTCAATTAACCAGACGTCCAGTGATACATATGATTCCATATTTTTTTCTCAGTTTAACATGAAAAATACTGCGGTGGCTTCAGTATGTGAAATTCCAGTCATATGAAACTTGATTTGAAGTGCTCGTTACTCTAAATAATGAAACGAAATAAATTCATTATTTGAAATAACGAAGTTACTTCGTTTATATCAAACAACGTTGCGGAATGTAAAAGAGAAAACATGGCTATTGCAAATGATTACTTCTCGTTTTGCAATAAAATTTGCCATCCTGGAAAAAAATACAGAGCGCTGATAGGAACGCTAGGGCTTTAGACAACAAGGGGAAAAACACTAGACTCGCGTTTGGATTGATAGGTACGAATGATAATATATCTAGCGAATACTTTATCATTATGCACTGGCTTACTAAATCTTATCAATGCCATAACTACGGTTTACTGTTTTATAATATAAAAATACGGAGCTGACGCTAAACTTTCCATGGATGCATCGCTCTCAATTGCTAAGATACCAATTCTCAGATTCATTACACATAAATGACTTGGTCAATTAATGAAAAGGTGTTAAAATACACCAGATGGATTTGATTTTAATCTTCGCATTCCTGGTCCCACACCCACCAAAGCTACAGACTTAGCATGTCAATAACGATCACCCGGAACAGATCAACATCTTATCAAAGCATAAACAGAAAGCACTGATTTCAAGTCTCCATTCCTTATCTGATTTTTATAATGACCACCATATAAAGACAGCTTGTTGGCTCTGGCACAGCATAGTTGATCCAACGGAATTGTCCAGAGCACGATACCTCGGGCAATAATTCTACACCAAGCAATTACAGAAACTGTTTTTAAGAAAGGGTCCGCCATGATTCGATTGGCAGTGATCGCGTGCCTGGTAGGATCCGCGCTGAGCAACGATCTTCTACTAGCAAACGACAAAAAAGAATGGTACAAAAACTCTGTGATATATCAGATATACCCCAGGAGCTTCAGAGACAGCAATGATGACGGTATTGGGGACTTGAACGGCATCACTAGCAGACTAGCATACCTCGCAGACATAGGAGTCACAGCACTCTGGCTCTCCCCCATCTACAAGAGCCCACAGGCAGACTTTGGCTACGATATTTCTGATTTCAAAGACATTGACCCGAATTATGGCACCCTGACGGACTTCGACTGGCTCGTCTCCACGGCCAAGAAGCTAGGTCTCAAGGTGATCTTGGATTTCGTGCCTAATCACAGCTCCTCCGAGCACCAGTGGTTCAAGAAGAGCGTGAAGAGGATCAAACCCTTCGACCAGTACTACGTTTGGAAGGACGCCAAGATGATAAACGGGACTAGACACCCGCCGAACAACTGGCTGAGCGCCTTCGAAGGCTCTGCGTGGAAGTGGAACGAAGACCGTCAACAATACTACCTGCACCAGTTCGTAGCGGGTCAGCCGGATCTCAACTACCGCAGCAAGGCCCTGAAACAGGAAATGGAGAACGTGTTCACGTTCTGGATGAACCGCGGAGTAGACGGTTTCCGTATTGACGCGGTCAATTTCTTGCTCGAGGACTCCAGGTTCCAAGATGAGCCCAAGTCGAACGTGCCTGGCATCCCCGACACCGACTATGACAGCCTGCTCCACGTCTACTCGAAGGATCAGGACGACACCTATGACATACTGAAGTCCTGGCGGAGGCTGATGGACAACCACGCGAACAAGACAAAGTCGAACGCCAAGATGATCCTCACGGAAGCCTACACGACGCACAATCTGACGATCAAGTATTACACCGCTGGATCCAACGTTCCCTTCAACTTTATGTTCATGCAGGAGTTGACCAAGAAGTCTACCGCGGCTGACTTCAAGAAGATGATCGACCAGTGGGTAAACAGCCTCCCAGGGCCTCAATACGAGGGCAACTGGGTCGTAGGCAACCACGATAATCATCGCGTTGGTACGAGATTCGGTGAAGAACGCGCTGATCAGATCACTATGCTGTCTCTGATGCTGCCTGGAGTGGCTATCATATACAATGGCGACGAAATCGGCATGTTGGACAGGAATTTCACCTATCAGGAGACCGTGGACCCAGCTGGATGCAACGCTGGGCCGAACAGGTACTATTTGAAGTCCAGAGACCCTGAGAGGACCCCGTTCCAGTGGGATGATTCGATGAACGCAGGGTTTTCCAACAGAAACAAGACCTGGTTGCCCGTCAATAACAATTATAAGGTCCTGAATCTCGCAGCTCAGAAACAGGCCAAAGTATCACACTACAAGTTGTTTAAAGATTTGGTAACGCTGAAGAAGAAACCAGTTCTGGCCGAAGGCTCCCTCCAAGTAACCTTGGTCAATAATAATGTTTTGGCTGTCGTCCGTAAACTTGAAACGAATGTTGCGGTACTTTTGATCAATTTCGCCGATACACCTGTCACCGTTAACGCTAAGACCAAGTTGAATCTCCCGCTAAAGCTGGCAGTTTATACTGCCAGTATTGGTTCCAATTATCAAGCCAATACCATCGTTAACACGACTCAGATGCGCATACCAGGAGCTGCATCTGTTGTGTACACGAATCCATAGTCTATGAATTTATAATTCTTGAAGGTTTGAGGTTGAACTGTACAGCTGAGATGACGTAGTTTTGCTAGAATTCATTTAGGACATCTGTTGACTCAAATACAGTTTTTAATCGCATGATTGTAACGAGTATACACTATATGTAATAAATCGTCTTACAAATCCATTCTTTCCTCGTCTGCGATTCCTTTTTTTTTATGTTAGAAACTGTGAATTGTCATTAGAAAGGGATTGAAAGCTGCCTGACTCGTTCTCTGTGCTTTAATCTAAAGCTATATGGCGCCAGGAAATTCTTTATTTCAACACTGATGATACCTTTCCATTATTTTTATTTAATTTCCATAAAATTTTGTTTGAGTGCTCTTTGTGTTCTCAGAGAAAATACGAGTTAAATAAATCAGACTATAAACTTTGAAGCGAGCGAATGTTTGCCTTTACGTTTCCAAAACACATCAGCTACTTCCTAAACTATGTTAGTACTTTATTATTTAAAACACAAAGTAATTATTTCCAAAGTTATTTCATAGAATAAAATAACGTACTTCTACATCAATAATAAAATAACCGTGAAATAAGATAACCTGTTATCTGAAACAGTACTCCTAGATCTGCTCCAGGAAGTTCTCCGCCACGTTTGGAAAGCAAACCTGGGCACATTTAAAATAACGTTATTTGAAATACTATTTCAACGGCTATTTCATTTCTGAAATTCATTTACGTTACCTTATTTAATGTAATAACGAAAAATAACAATTTTCCATTTGAAATAATGAAATTTATCGGCAGATGAAATTACTTTCCGCAGTAGCAATTATTTTAAATAACGTTGCGGGACATGAAAGATTCAAGTGATTATTTCAAACAATTGTCTTTTGTCTTCGTTTCGAATAAAATTTTCCTAAGTCTTCTGGGAAGCATTAGACAATGTTGATAAGAGTACTAAGCTTCAGACAACGAGTGAAGAACGTATCACACTCGTCTCTATCGATTATAGATTATAAATAGATATCACGACGACAATATAATCCTTCGACCGAGTAATCGTTATACATTCGCTGGAAAATCTTATCAAAATAATTTCTATGCTCTTACGCGATACCCAATCAGTACGTAATTACTCATAGATGACTAGGACAACAAAAAGTTATCAGACCTCCCCAGGTAGATTCGATTCTAATTCTCAAATCACCGACTCAACATATAAGCTTTAAATCAACAATTAAAAACTATACTATCAATTACAGATGACGTATCTCCGTTGCTTATCGAATTTTTATAAAGCTACCGCACTTTATAAGTACAACTTGCCGTGCCTCGCGTAGTTCAGTAGTTTCAAGACAATTGTGTAGGAAGTTATTGTTAACAATTCCATCGCACCAAGCAATAACTCAAAGTTATTGCTCAATAGCGGGTCGACATGATTCGACTAGCAGTGATCGCGTGCTTGCTAGGATCCGCGCTGAGCAATGATCTTGAACGAGTGAACGACAAAAAAGAATGGTACAAGAACGCTGTGATATATCAGATATATCCCAGGAGCTTCAGAGACAGCAATGGCGACGGCATCGGGGATCTGAATGGCATCAGCAGCAGGGTAGGACATATTGCAGAAATGGGTGCCACGGCACTTTGGCTCTCCCCCATCTACAAGAGCCCACAGGTTGATTTTGGCTACGATATTTCCGACTTCACAGACATTGACCCGGATTACGGCACCTTGGCAGACTTCGACTGGCTCGTTTCCATGTCCAAGATGCTCGGACTCAAGGTGATCATGGATTTCGTACCCAATCATAGCTCTCACGAGCACCCGTGGTTCAAGAAGAGCGTGAAAAGGATCAAACCGTACGACGAATACTACGTTTGGAGGGACGCCAGGATAATCAACGGGACCAGACACCCGCCGAACAACTGGCTGAGCAACTTCGAGGGCTCCGCCTGGGAATGGAACGACGAACGGAAGCAGTATTACCTGCACCAGTTCGCGGCAGGTCAGCCTGATCTCAACTACCGCAGCCAGGCGTTGAGACAGCAGATGGAAGATGTGTTGACATTCTGGATGGACCACGGAGTCGACGGTTTCCGTATTGACGCGATCAATCACATGGTGGAGGACGATAGGTTCCTGGATGAGCCCAAGTCGAACGTGACTGGCATCCCCGACACCGACTACGACAGCCTGGTTCACATTTACACGAGGGACCAGAACGAAACCTACGAGGTGCTGAAGACCTGGCGGAAGCTGTTGGACGACCACTCCAACAGAACAGGGTCTGAACCCAAGATGATCCTCACGGAAGCCTACACGACGCACAATCTGACGATCAAGTATTACACCGCTGGATCAAACGTTCCCTTCAACTTTATGTTCATCAGAGGTTTGACCAACACTTCCACCGCGGCTGACTTCAAAAGGGAGATCGACAAGTGGGTGAAGAGCATTCCAGGATCTGATTATGTGGCGAACTGGGTCGTGGGCAACCACGATAATCATCGTGTTGCTACCAGATTCGGTAGAAAACGTGCTGATCAGATCACTATGCTGTCTATGATGCTGCCTGGAGTGGCTGTCGTGTACAATGGCGACGAAATCGGCATGTTGGACAGGAATTTCACCTATCAAGAGACCGTGGACCCAGCTGGATGCAACGCTGGGCCGAACAGGTACTACTTGAAGTCCAGAGACCCCGAGAGGACCCCGTTCCAATGGCAAAACGCCGTCGCAGGAGGATTTTCTGACGTGAACAAGACCTGGTTGCCTGTCAATAGCAATTACAAAACTCTGAACCTGGCAGCACAGAAACGGGCTAAAGTGTCTCACTACAAGGTGTTCACGGATCTAGTGGCGCTGAAGAAGAAGCCAATTCTGGCCGAAGGCTCCCTCGAAGTGACCTTGGTCAATAATAGAGTTCTGGCTGTCGTTCGTAGGGTCGAGCAGGGCGTAGCCTTTCTTTTGATCAACTTTTCTAACTTTCCACTCACTGTTAACGCGAAGACCAAGCTGAAACTTCCGGAGGAGCTTACGATTTACACCGCTAGTATTGGTTCCAACCTTCCGATTGGTAGTCACGTTGACCCAACCAAGTTGCGTCTACCTGCAGCTGCATCTGTCGTCTACACTAGTCCAATTCTGACGATACAAAATTTGTGGTGCTTCAAAATTAAAGTTTGCTCTTAAGGCAACCTAGTAATTCTGCGAATTATGTTAGGGATTAATCGGTTGTCGTTATATAATTTTTAATACATAAATTTTCTTGCAAATATTGCCTCATGTGCTATTTAAAAACAAAACAATATTTTATGTAATATTATTTCTGTAATGGTTATTGTTGAGATTATTCTTCTTGTTATTATCGAACATATTCTGATCATGCGGCTATTTCCATGGACGTTTATAGATCCGCTGACAAAAATAAAAATAATCTAATTAATTATCTACATCATACATTATCTATATCGACGAGTATAGACCGAGTATTATTATTACAGAAATGTTAATTACGCTATGCAATTTTATTTCGGTGCAGACCCAGTCTGCTTGATTGCATAATTAGAGCATGCTTCAAATATTAATAAACCGCATCAACAATCTCGATTGGCACCTTCTAAATATTTTATTTTCTGGAAAAATAGGCTATTGAAAATTGTATGATTCTGAAAGAAGCCTTTCTAATTTTAAATCGAAGTATAGATATTTATTCATAATCTTTTTTCTCAACCACTGCAGACAATAGACAAAATTACAACTGCTTGCCTCCCAAGTTACGACAGCTCTGTATTCATCCCGAATATTCGTTAATTATATTTTTGTATATTATTTTTCAGTAGTTAACAATAATTTGAATAATAGAAGCTTAACGCGAAATGTGTAATTCTCTTTTCGTACGGTCCGATCAATAACCTTATTTTCTCACGCGGTTTTCGCGTTGCATTCGCGATCGATGGAAAAATGCGTTCAGCCAATCCGTGGTTCGTTAATTAACCGTCCGCTTCCAGGTTCAATGCAAATGAATTATTTAACACGCCGCAGTAGGGGGTGTTGTTTCCCTGTGAAATCCTATGAATTTCCGAATATTCATAGAATAATTGCGCGGTCTCCTTGAGTCGCAGTGTTCCTGAAAAAGTTGTTACTCGCGGAACGAAGTATGAATACCGAATAAAATCATTCGGACGAAAGAACCAGTCTTCGGGTTTTCCATTAAAAATATTACGAATGCCTTCTACTGTTTCCATTTGTTTCCGTTTAAAAAAAAGTATTATCAAACAGAACGATTCTTAAGTGTCAGCATTTTCTCAGACAGTTGTATTCTTTAAACAGCTGTAAAATTTTGGAAAATCCATCGAGGCACGTTTGAATATCGTCAACGATCGGGACACGTTAAAGTTTGGGTCCAATTCAGGGTGATAATGGATAATCGATGAGTTAATTGACCGTCCTTGCAACTGCAATGGCAGCAATGACCGTAAACCGTTCGGGCATTCACGTGAAACGTCAACAGTGTTCTTCGAAATTCCCCGTGTAAGTCGCGAGTAGAACGAAGAGCATTGTTTGGCCGTTCTAGGAAGACACAGCGAAGGGTGGCTCGCACGAAGGGCGTACGCACACGAGTGCTCGCGGAAATTCTCAAGTTTTCATGCAGACAGCCGGTCCGCCGTGCACCAGCGCCGGAGCTGCGCCAATCACGTTGAGTGCACATTCTTCAACCTATCCTTCTGTCCCTTGTTCCCGTTATTTCTCTTCCTCTTTCAGACGTCGCCAGAGACACTTGGAAAGGATGCGCTCGCATAACATCGACTTCATTTGTGTACACACGGCGCACGTACCCGCTAGTGTGCTCAAGACCCGCTGAGAATCGACGCAGAGGTCTCTCCGTGGCCTCCATTCTTTCAGGAAATGGCTTGGACCGACGTTTCCGCGCGATAAGATCAATCACGGTTTGCGTCGTTCAATCACCAAGTTTACTAAGGTCGAAGTCCTTAAAACGCGTTAGATTTCTTACAATCTCAGACCTCCGCGTCGCTTTTATTCGCAGATTTTCAATAAACATATTTCTCAACAAATATTGGAGACACATGGCTTCCAATTGCATCTAGTCTCAGCCCCCATTGTATCGTGTCTCCATTTGTATATGTTCACTCGTGATGAATCTTTTCACTTCCTGACCACAAAATTCACGGAAAGACCGTTCCGGTTTATCTAATCAAAATTGATCCCCAGACCGCCTTTCCCGATTCTATTCATCTTATGGCCGCCATTTTTCTGCGAAACGGCTCTGGCTGGGGTTTCATGCGATAGGATCAATCACGACGCCGTCTTTGTTCGCTCTCTCTCTCTCAGAATACCGAGAAACCCGGTAAACGATCGGGTCGGACGGTCTGTATCAATCGAAGTGTATCGTGTTTCCGCTCGTTCCGTCAACGGGAAACAGATTATATCGCATAGCGAACCGGCCACGATATTATTTGAATATTGACCACCTGGCGCAACGAACGGCATAATTATGACGCATCGCGGCTTCATTTGTGTTATTAGTGCAGCCTACCGGAAGGCTGATTGGTCATCTTGCTGGCAGAATATTGATATCGATTCGGTTACACGGAGCCAGTCGAAGAATATAGGAATCATTTTACTTTCGACAAAACCAGGACTTCGTTTCCCTTCGTGTTATTAACGCTTCCGGAGAAAGAAATATATTAAACCTCCCAGCGCCATTGCCTCGGTTGCTTAATTCGGTGGTCATTTCTTTCGCAGCCACGGAACACGGCGAAGCATTTCTTGTTGCGGACAAAATTCCACGGCGTCCAGGTAGCATCGTAGCCGTCGTTGGCGTTCCGGCATCCAGTAATCCGCACCAAATATTTCGACGGCGGAAGCCTCCGGAGCCCAGTCTTATTTGCCGCGTGGTAACTCACAGCCTCTTAATTAATTCGCGGTCTCCTCGTTTCGTGGCTTCCGGCGTCTCCCTCTCGCTCGCTACAGCAAGACCTTTCGACGCCTGTTTCCTTCCTTTCATACCCGTGGACCGTGAATTTCCGAGAAGAACTCCGCCATTCAGAGCACCAACCCCCCCGCGCAACGCTATCCGCTATCCGGCCCCCTCCACCCTCGTCCCATTCTCTTTGCCTTTTAATCCCGTCGAAGGAGGAGTCGTTGCGTGCAATTTACCGTTCGCGAATAAAGAATTTACAAAGGCCTGACGCGAGGTCTCCGGGAAACAGTAAGCCTTTCGCGCGTATTCCAATTAATTCGCACAATGCCCCGAGGGACACTTTGGCAGGGAATCGATTCCCGTGGGGATCGCGCGTAACCCCGGGATGGTTATCGGGCGTCGAACGTTATCTCGTTAGCGTGGAGGGGTCGCATTATCATAAAATCGAAGCACGTAACGAGCGTGCCGCGTCGACGGAGTAAAAATAGCTGGACTCACCCCTGCTCGTCGCGCGAGTCCTATTTGCGGCTGACTGTCCTCGACTGCATCAACGGGGTGTCTCGTTTGGTCTACGCGCAGACGAATCTACCTGCAACGGTGAATTATAATTAATCACCACCGAGAAATATTCGCGTAATTCAAAATTGCAGCAGTCCCTCTCATTACTACCCGTTGGTATTCCTGCGTACAGTTGTGTCTCGCTATATGATCGAATTTTTGCCCCGCACGCAAGAGCACGAATCGTGTCCTCGAAAGGTTACCGTTATAAAAAGTATAAGAGACCCATCGATTCTCGTCGGAAGATGATCAATATTGACCTCGATTCTGAGTAGAAATACCTGCCCCGCTTTCAAGCAAACTACGGATCCCGAGTTTGTCGCTTGAAAGCGGACACTACTACATCAGGTTAACCGACAACTACATGCTACTGATACTCAGACGGGGACACAGAGAATTTGGTGCTACTAAATAATAGATTCTCGGTCCCCACAGAACTCGGCTACGGTTAATTCAAGATTCATCGCCGTTCCATCGAATTCAACGGTCTCTCATCAGTCTGAACACGTATCGATGATTCAGGTGACGCATTTCGCAGGAGTTGACGAGCGCGCGTTGGATAGTAAATACCTCCAACTGCCGGCGGACATTCTCGAAGCACCAGACGATAAATGCATCCCCAATTCTCGAACTTCTGCTGAACTTCAAACTCCGCGCCCATCTTCGTCTAATCCGACTCGGCGGTTTCCGATCGGCGAGTCCTCGCGCGAATTTCACGGTATTCGGAGACGCCTTTCACGCAGTTCGACGATAAGCTACCTTCATATCGGGAAAATACGGAACCTCGTTATTCCGATTGACCCCTCCCCCCTCCTATTTGTCGGCGTATGAAACGTTCCCTCACCTCCCCCGAGACCAGCGTCCCATCGCCCTTTTCGTCTCACCGCATACACGCGGGGGACGCCTCGCTGGACGATTTCGCGCGGCGGATTTTATGCACGGCCCGAATCCAATTACCCCGAATAATTTATCGGCGAATCACGGACGTTAATGACATTGGGCCGAATTAGGCGAACCTCGAAAAAGTGCCGCCAATTAGTATTCGCGGCGCGGACAAAGTTCGCATTTTTACCGTCGACGACAGCGCTCGATTATCCGCGCCCGGACTCGACGCATATTTTCGACCGATCGTTCCCGCGTTTCAGATTGCTTTTCAACGAGCCAGGCCTGCCGTTGCATTCACTCTTCGTCAAGCTATTTCGAGGGAATATTGATTGTTGAGGGGGATTTTGTATTTAACATCGAAATTATAAAACAATATTGGACTCGTTTCCTGTCTAGTCCCAAGACACATTATATTTTCGGTAAAGTTTTTCTACATATTGTACACCAAAATACGCGTTGTTTGCCGTTTGAAACATTAAAATCGTCCAATCCGTTCAGGAGTTATGATGTTTTAAAGATACGCATGAAATTTCAGGGAAACACATCAATGCGTGGTCAGACATTAAATTTTCACTGAGGAAGTTTTTTCTCGAAAGTGCGTAGGATTCCGGGGGTATGTTTACTGACCAAAAATGATTGTAATTGATCCCTGCAACTAAAAATAATTTTTTTAGAACGATATAAAATTTGTTAATTTTGTCGAAAAATTTCATACCTACTCGAATTTTTTTCTCGTAAGTAGTTAGGATTTCGGGGGTATGTCTATTCACCAAAAATGATTATAATAGACCCCTACAGTCGAAAATAATTTTTCCAGAACGATTTAAAATTTTGTCCACCTACCCCCTGTCGATTTTTCTTAAAAATTCGTTTTCGATTTTTAGTAATTTTGTTTAACGCCCTATAGAAAAGTTGTATAATACTTTTTTGTAGATACCTACGAGCTCTACTTCAGAAAAAAGTTTCATTGAAATATGTTCACTATTCTAGGAGTTATGGCTGTTTGAAAATTGGACCAGCTTTATGTGGTTTTTCTTATTTTACGT